CTATTTCTTTTGAGATTTTATCACTTGCTGAGATAACATAAGGTGAATGTTGAGCTTAAGGGTAAAGTCAGTTTATAGCTTTCTCTGTTTTCCTGTGTTACGAAGCAACTAGGAATATTTCTTCTCACCCCTGGATGGGATGCTAGTTGATAGACCCTATTCAGAATAGCTGCCATGAAGGTTTTTCCTTTATAAATATGCCAATTAGCCACAGAGTCTGCCAGGTGGCAAACACTGGTCCGGAAAATGGCAATTCTAGGAAAATCGACTTGTTCCAATAGTGAAACATTTGAGCCAAAAATTAATGTGTTTTGAGAACCGAATAATTATAATTGTGGAATGTTTATTTCAGTATAATTTTATGGTTACACATTATCCTAACATAGGCTAATTAATAACCAATAGCCTCCATTTGGCACGTAAATATGCTCGGATGTTTGTCCGTGGACATTATCTGTTCTGAGGAGTGAACAGGTTTCCGAGAGCACAGCTTTGAGGAACAGATAGTATCCAAGTACAAATATCCGAGCATATTCTTGTGCCAAATGCAGACTATTATGTCTATTATCCTTTATATATTTTTTGCAACATGTGTGGTTTTAAAAATTGGGGAATTCCCTAATTTTAGCTGGGAAATATTTGGTCATGTGACTTGTTTAGACCAATCACGCACAAGCAAAAATATTTGATGGATTATAGTAATTAATATTCAGAAAAGTGCAGTACCAGATACATCTGCCATGATGGGATAAGTATTAAAACATAAGACAACACCATAAACATTCTGCCAAAAATTATGAAAATCTTGTGGCTCTGTCACTCATTTTTAGGGAATTTCAGTTCTTACCAACTGGTCATAGAATTAGTAATAAGTGAAAATCACAACGGCTCAAACCACAGAAGAACTCAAAAGCCAAAAAGGGACATGAACTGGACAAAATGAAGACTAATTATTAAAACAGATTGCATTAGCCTTGGTAAACTTGGAAAAACATCTGCTCAACATTTTCAAGTCAAATTGCATAAAAGTGTTAATGTTTTCATGTTCAGAAATCACCCCTATTTGATGTATGGAGGGGATTTTGCCAATGAAAGACTGCTGTTAAGCCAATTTGAAGTTTTTAAACTCATAGTTGACAAACATAACCAGAATTACCTAAAATGCTGTTACCTAGCCCTTTAAATCAACCACATGTTATAAATAAATATTTACAAAAACACTGACCTAGAGCAGTTTCCAATTGAGTGTGGAAAGTAATTAAGTGAAAGGCAATTACTCTGGATTTGGTTTTGGTTTTACTATGGTTTGAGATTGGCTGAGTTGTTTAACTGGTAAGTAACTGATTTTGTTTTGGTTTGACAACACTCAATTGAAAACTCCTAACATCTACATGTATTCATTATGCTAAATTTTATGTTTCATACATTGATATTTACACAATCATTCACTCCTTAATCAGAGCCAGAACTGCTGCATTCTTCCTCAAACTTGCCCTCACTCAAGTTTGACAACCTCTTTTCTGCAATTACAAAAGGAAGGCTCTTGAAATTCATTGGTGGTATCTCCACATGAAAGCTGCCCTTTTTGTTGAGGTACTGAAATTCATAATGTCCCTTCATGGTTCCAGTAGGTGTAGAAAATGTTGTGCAACTGATGTACTCATGGAGGGCCCCTGGGGTCATCACTGGAAATTCACCAACCACACCATCACCATGTACCTCTTCATTAACTCCGTTTTCATCCGTGATGTACCAGTGACGTGTTGTCAGCTGGCATTTGTTCATCTGAAACATAAAATCATGGTTCCTAAATCCATAATGAAGTGCAATTTTGTTGCAGTCAAAACTACCAGTATAAAGTACAGTACTTCCAGTTACAACAATCTTGTCCCCAGAACCCACAGCTGTTTGGTCAGCGGTAACCGAATGCATGATGCTCTGAGCAAAATTGAAAACTGGAGCCAGAAAATGCTTGTTCTGGTTTGATTGTGTGCATGCATAATTTCAAGTACAATAACAGTTTCTGAACATGCGTAGAGAGAATAACCACTGTGACTAATGGTGGTTGGTTTACCTTCTGGTTTCAACACTTATAATGTGTTCAATAACTTAATTCCATTCTTCAAATCAATTTTTCTTCTCTTGAAAAATGAAATGAATACTTTCTTACTCAAACCACAATTTGATTCAAAAGTTGACTGTTGCTGTGATTAATGCCTGGCTTAATGCCACAAGTATGTCAGGCATTCATTCAAATTTGCAAAATTTGAGCTTAACAGCTACACATGTAGAAATATCACATAAGGTATTTTCAGGATTTCTGTGCATCAGTCGTTTTTTACCCCTTTTAAAAACTGCTGGAGCAGATGAAAACTTCTCATTTTGCTACACTGAAGAGATTTCAAAAGGCTAGGAGGAAAGACAATCAAGAACAAAAAAAAAATTCAGGTAACCCAGTTTTCCTTTTTATGCAAATTAAAGGTACTTTGAAATAACATGCCTGGAAATAACATGCCTGGAAATGAAACCAGTTAGAGGTAGTGGCTGCGGTGGTACAATGAAAGAAAACTACATATTTAACAGATATCACCTACCAAGGAGCCTTCTGCATCCATAGAAATTGATATGCGATAAGTGAAAAAGAACAAAGGTGGTTTCACACTGCTTAGTTCTGGCAGAAATGCAGTAGTTGTTTTAACTGTGATGCCCCTGGTAGTCATGGAGCCAGAAAACAGGAACTTGTAAATTTCCCTGTCAATTACTGGGTAGCAGTTCCCAGACAACTGATCTGCATATTTACAGAGCCACGAAGCAAAATTGGTCCCACCCAGGAAATGATGCATTCTCATTGGACAGACATCATAATTTCCACAACTGCGATCAGGACTTGGCCAAAAGATTTCTCCTGGATTATGTCCCTCTTCATTCGTCAATGCCATGAATTGTCCATTTCCAGTATTCAAACAGAAGGAAATGGGAATGCAATTCCGTAGTCCGTCCCTTCGCTGAAGACCATTTGCAGCAACATTGAGTTCCAGAAGAGACTCACTTTGATGGTGATTGGATATTGACATGGAACCAAAGAGTCCTGCACTGACAAGTTGCTGTCCATTATGGATACGTATTGAACATCTGAGATCAGTTGGAAGTCTACAACCTGTTGAAGTAGTTATATATAAGCTTAATGCTTTTGTGTTGGCCTTTTGTTACAACTCATTGTTAGTTTCACAGCAAGTTGAAACATTAAGTTTAGAAGAATAGAATTACTCACTAATTTAAATTCTCTTCTCAGGAGACTTGAAAGGATTGGTGCTTTTTAATACAGTTAAGAAACCTGGGAGTGGGGTTGATTGGATCGTGAAATCGAGGATCTGATCATGTCAATAAAGACCCAATTCTCCCTAAGGGGCTTATAGGAAATGTATGACAAACAGTAAGGAGATATTATATTCTGATCGTGGGACTTGGCAGTGCAGGAATGGTTTTAACACCGCGTTGATTTCACTTGCACTTTATGCGCTTACGTAATTAAAATGTCTCACCAGTAAGCTTCTTTGATTCGGTTTCAGTAATCTCCTCCTCTGTTAATCCTTCGTTCAAAGTATCGTAGATATGGGGGCAGTGAAGCTTTGTAAATTCTTCAATGAAGTTCCAAGCCCTTTTAATGGAAGCATAACACGATTCGTATCGCCCCCAGTTCGCTTTCCACTCGGAGAACAACTGTTTCCAGTTCTTTCCCGGCGGACATTCCTCCACTAGCCAAACTTCTTTACACCACGTTTTCCAAGCAGGAAGGCAAAAGGCAACTTGATTGAACCGACTGCAAACCTGGCAGCACCTTGCCAGGTCTTCTCTATCCAAGAAGGAGAAAATATTCACCAAATCAATAACAGGCAGGGACGAAAAGCATATATTCTTAGCCGCCGTTTCAGCCGCCATGTTTTTTGATAAATTGAGCCCCAGTCTTCCAAAGGACGTTGAAATATTTATCTATGGGTAGGGTGAGATGGGAGAAGTACGCGACAGAAGTTTCGCCCATCCCACCCCACCAAGTTTCTTGCTTGCTTCCGTGTAAGCTGAACAGCTGCCATTCCTAGTCAAGACCGTTCGAAGAATGAATATATTTAGGTTTCTTCCGCCAATACTTGACCATTACAGTTGATGACCGCTAATCAAGAGTATTCAACGTGAATTCCCGTAACTGCAGGTATCTATCAGTGATATTTTCGGCATGATTCAGAATAGATTGCGTTGTTAATAATGAACGAGTCACTCAAATTTTTAAGCTCACCTCAGTTTCCTTACTTAAAAGGCTTACGTTCTTAAGTCTTTACTATTTGGGCAACAAAGACCACGCTTTATTCTTGTGGTTTAAGTTAATAAAACAAATAATAGAATTTTGAAACAACTATTTGCCGTATCATGCAGAAGAATGAAAAAAAGTTTAAAGTGCATTTATTTCTTGAATGATGTGATCGCAAGGCCACCAGTAGGTAACTTAGGTTTTCAATGGTTATCGACATTCCATTTTACATTAAATTTTCAACGTGGAGAATTTAACTTAGATTTTATTGGTTGTTCTGTAGCAGCAATACAGTTATGCTGTAATTAGAACTGTGGCAGATGTAATATGAAAAAAAATCCATAACTAAATAAGTGGGTAAAAATTTATTTTGTAAAAGATACTGAATTAAGATACCCAACGCGAAATTTGAGTTTTGATACATGTTTGTTCCGTGCCCTCCAGCTGTTATGGTAATTTACATGATGTGTCGTGTAACTTACAATTATTTAGCTGTCAAATAATAGACAAAAAAGTGTTGACCCTTGTGTGTTTTATTCAACAACCGTGACAGAGCAAGGTGAAATACCAAGTCTCTTTCTTTGTACCTTGACTGATTCTTTTTGACATTATTTTAAAATGCTAGGGTACACTTTTTTATCAATCCTATAAGAGTCCCTGCCAAAGGTTTCTATCCAAAAAGAAAGACTTCTCTAGAAAATTTTTATCCCCATAAGGTGCCAAAATTGCTAATTTCGAATCAAAAAAGATTCATATACCCCCTGTTACTAATTAAATATGTATAATTTAATACTCTGAGAGTATAGGGATACTTTAAGGCACTTCACCATCATTCTTGAGACATTTGAGACAATAAGACTGTGCCAATCCCTTTGGAAATTTAGATCAGACTAAAGCTTGTTAGAATTTGTACTTTCAGGATCAAATGTAAGTTAAAGAATCAACATTATGATGTCATTGAGTAATATCTACAAACCTGAAGCAAACAAGTTTTCTCATCTTGGAAGTGAAGATGATGATGATTCTGATGAGCTGGATGATGAAATTGACGACAGCTACAACAAAGCATTGCACAGTCCTACAAGAAATGTTCAGAAACCGTTGATGGCACCAAACAGGACCACAAAAATAAGAAGAGCGCACTCTAAGCCATGGTGTACAACCAGGGCCTGTTTTGTCTGCTTTGTCTGGCTTGCATTCTTTTCTATTTGTGTCTCTGGCCTTGTACTTCTCATTCTGCGAGCAGTTGATTCAGTGGATTCAAAAACAAATGATCCAAATACTCACTTTGTCAAGAAAGTTTTATTGGATAACCAACAGACATCCTTCAATGATGAGAGCAATTTTGCTCCCTGTGATGAACTTTATGCTACAAAGGTGTGGCACACAACAATGTCTAAACTAATGACCGAAACGGCTGTGCGACTTAATGATGTCAATGAAGATGGTGTTGATGACCTCATGGTAGGGTTTTCAACTGGCGTTGATGGGTACAATGCACCTAAAATCTCTTGTGATCTATATTTTAATGGCACTTATCCATGCTATGGTGGGCTTTTGGCTCTTGATGGTAAAACTGGCAGAGAAATATGGAGGCATTATACCATGCATGAAATCTACTCAGTAAACTGTAACGGTGATTTGGATGTGGATGGTGTACGAGACTGCTTGATTTCAGGAAGGGCAGGAGTCTTCCAAGCTGTTAGTGGCAAGAAAGGACAGCTTATTTGGAATTTTGGACCACAGGAATCTAGGGATACTAACATGAATTTGTACACAGCACAGTTTATCAGAGATCTTAATGGTGATGGGGTGATGGAAGTTTTAGTTACACATGGGGGAGACCCTTTGGCGTAAGTCTTGTCTGTAATTTTTTCCTTGTTTATACCTTGTGGTCAAAAGTAGGTTTTAGAATATTGAGCTGCCAACAGTTTTCAAGGGAACATTCAGAAAATTGATCTACAGAGTACAAAACTTGAATCGTGTGAAAATTGTTTAAAAGTTTGTGGATCATTTGCACACACAAGATTTCTAGTGAATTTCGCTTTATTTTGTGTGTTTGTGAATTTCATGGGGTTTCACAGATTTGAAAGTTGCGGCTCCGCAACTGCACAAAATATCAGAAGCCCTGTCTATGAGGTGATAGTTCATGAGGCCGATCACCTCATAGAAATCTCGAGCTTATAATCTAATTGTTAAATATTAACATTATCACCATTTTTTTTTTTAATTTTTGTTAAATTAGGGAACCAAATAGCCCTCATCGTCTGGTTGGACGTCTTTTGATATNAAGTCAAATTGCATAAAAGTGTTAATGTTTTCATGTTCAGAAATCACCCCTATTTGATGTATGGAGGGGATTTTGCCAATGAAAGACTGCTGTTAAGCCAATTTGAAGTTTTTAAACTCATAGTTGACAAACATAACCAGAATTACCTAAAATGCTGTTACCTAGCCCTTTAAATCAACCACATGTTATAAATAAATATTTACAAAAACACTGACCTAGAGCAGTTTCCAATTGAGTGTGGAAAGTAATTAAGTGAAAGGCAATTACTCTGGATTTGGTTTTGGTTTTACTATGGTTTGAGATTGGCTGAGTTGTTTAACTGGTAAGTAACTGATTTTGTTTTGGTTTGACAACACTCAATTGAAAACTCCTAACATCTACATGTATTCATTATGCTAAATTTTATGTTTCATACATTGATATTTACACAATCATTCACTCCTTAATCAGAGCCAGAACTGCTGCATTCTTCCTCAAACTTGCCCTCACTCAAGTTTGACAACCTCTTTTCTGCAATTACAAAAGGAAGGCTCTTGAAATTCATTGGTGGTATCTCCACATGAAAGCTGCCCTTTTTGTTGAGGTACTGAAATTCATAATGTCCCTTCATGGTTCCAGTAGGTGTAGAAAATGTTGTGCAACTGATGTACTCATGGAGGGCCCCTGGGGTCATCACTGGAAATTCACCAACCACACCATCACCATGTACCTCTTCATTAACTCCGTTTTCATCCGTGATGTACCAGTGACGTGTTGTCAGCCGGCATTTGTTCATCTGAAACATAGAATCATGGTTCCTAAATCCATCATGAAGTGCAATTTTGTTGCAGTCAAAACTACCAGTATAAAGTACAGTACTTCCAGTTACAACAATCTTGTCCCCAGAACCCACAGCTGTTTGGTCAGCGGTAACCGAATGCATGATGCTCTGAGCAAAATTGAAAACTGGAGCCAGAAAATGCTTGTTCTGGTTTGATTGTGTGCATGCATAATTTCAAGTACAATAACAGTTTCTGAACATGCGTAGAGAGAATAACCACTGTGACTAATGGTGGTTGGTTTACCTTCTGGTTTCAACACTTATAATGTGTTCAATAACTTAATTCCATTCTTCAAATCAATTTTTCTTCTCTTGAAAAATGATATGAATACTTTCTTACTCAAACCACAATTTGATTCAAAAGTTGACTGTTGCTGTGATTAATGCCTGGCTTAATGCCACAAGTATGTCAGGCATTCATTCAAATTTGCAAAATTTGAGCTTAACAGCTACACATGTAGAAATATCACATAAGGTATTTTCAGGATTTCTGTGCATCAGTCGTTTTTTACCCCTTTTAAAAACTGCTGGAGCAGATGAAAACTTCTCATTTTGCTATACTGAAGAGATTTCAAAAGGCTAGGAGGAAAGACAATCAAGAACAAAAAAAAAATTCAGGTAACCCAGTTTTCCTTTTTATGCAAATTAAAGGTACTTTGAAATAACATGCCTGGAAATAACATGCCTGGAAATGAAACCAGTTAGAGGTAGTGGCTGCGGTGGTACAATGAAAGAAAACTACATATTTAACAGATATCACCTACCAAGGAGCCTTCTGCATCCATAGAAATTGATATGCGATAAGTGAAAAAGAACAAAGGTGGTTTCACACTGCTTAGTTCTGGCAGAAATGCAGTAGTTGTTTTAACTGTGATGCCCCTGGTAGTCATGGAGCCAGAAAACAGGAACTTGTAAATTTCCCTGTCAATTACTGGGTAGCAGTTCCCAGACAACTGATCTGCATATTTACAGAGCCACGAAGCAAAATTGGTCCCACCCAGGAAATGATGCATTCTCATTGGACAGACATCATAATTTCCATAACTGCGATCAGGACTTGGCCAAAAGATTTCTCCTGGATTATGTCCCTCTTCATTCGTCAATGCCATGAATTGTCCATTTCCAGTATTCAAACAGAAGGAAATGGGAATGCAATTCCGTAGTCCGTCCCTTCGCTGAAGACCATTTGCAGCAACATTGAGTTCCAGAAGAGACTCACTTTGATGGTGATTGGATATTGACATGGAACCAAAGAGTCCTGCACTGACAAGTTGCTGTCCATTATGGATACGTATTGAACATCTGAGATCAGTTGGAAGTCTACAACCTGTTGAAGTAGTTATATATAAGCTTAATGCTTTTGTGTTGGCCTTTTGTTACAACTCATTGTTAGTTTCACAGCAAGTTGAAACATTAAGTTTAGAAGAATAGAATTACTCACTAATTTAAATTCTCTTCTCAGGAGACTTGAAAGGATTGGTGCTTTTTAATACAGTTAAGAAACCTGGGAGTGGGGTTGATTGGATCGTGAAATCGAGGATCTGATCATGTCAATAAAGACCCAATTCTCCCTAAGGGGCTTATAGGAAATGTATGACAAACAGTAAGGAGATATTATATTCTGATCGTGGGACTTGGCAATGCAGGAATGGTTTTAACACCGCGTTGATTTCACTTGCACTTTATGCGCTTACGTAATTAAAATGTCTCACCAGTAAGCTTCTTTGATTCGGTTTCAGTAATCTCCTCCTCTGTTAATCCTTCGTTCAAAGTATCGTAGATATGGGGGCAGTGAAGCTTTGTAAATTCTTCAATGAAGTTCCAAGCCCTTTTAATGGAAGCATAACACGATTCGTATCGCCCCCAGTTCGCTTTCCACTCGGAGAACAACTGTTTCCAGTTCTTTCCCGGCGGACATTCCTCCACTAGCCAAACTTCTTTACACCACGTTTTCCAAGCAGGAAGGCAAAAGGCAACTTGATTGAACCGACTGCAAACCTGGCAGCACCTTGCCAGGTCTTCTCTATCCAAGAAGGAGAAAATATTCACTAAAGGAATAACAGGCAGGGACGAAAAGCATATATTCTTAGCCGCCATTTCGGCCGCCATGTTTTTTGATAAATTGAGCCCTAGTCTTCCAAACGACGTTCAAATATTTATCTATGGGTAGGGTGAGAAGGGAGAACTACGCGACAGAATTTTTGCCCATCCCACCCCACCAAGTTCCTTTCTTGCTTCCGTGTAAGCTGAACAGCTGCCATTTCTAGTCAAGACCGTTCGAAGAATGAATATATTTAGGTNCCAAACTTCTTTACACCACGTTTTCCAAGCAGGAAGGCAAAAGGCAACTTGATTGAACCGACTGCAAACCTGGCAGCACCTTGCCAGGTCTTCTCTATCCAAGAAGGAGAAAATATTCACCAAATCAATAACAGGCAGGGACGAAAAGCATATATTCTTAGCCGCCGTTTCAGCCGCCATGTTTTTTGATAAATTGAGCCCCAGTCTTCCAAAGGACGTTGAAATATTTATCTATGGGTAGGGTGAGATGGGAGAAGTACGCGACAGAAGTTTCGCCCATCCCACCCCACCAAGTTTCTTGCTTGCTTCCGTGTAAGCTGAACAGCTGCCATTTCTAGTCAAGACCGTTCGAAGAATGAATATATTTAGGTTTCTTCCGCCAATACTTGACCATTACAGTTGATGACCGCTAATCAAGAGTATTCAACGTGAATTCCCGTAACTGCAGGTATCTATCAGTGATATTTTCGGCATGATTCAGAATAGATTGCGTTGTTAATAATGAACGAGTCACTCAAATTTTTAAGCTCACCTCAGTTTCCTTACTTAAAAGGCTTACGTTCTTAAGTCTTTACTATTTGGGCAACAAAGACCACGCTTTATTCTTGTGGTTTAAGTTAATAAAACAAATAATAGAATTTTGAAACAACTATTTGCCGTATCATGCAGAAGAATGAAAAAAAGTTTAAAGTGCATTTATTTCTTGAATGATGTGATCGCAAGGCCACCAGTAGGTAACTTAGGTTTTCAATGGTTATCGACATTCCATTTTACATTAAATTTTCAACGTGGAGAATTTAACTTAGATTTTATTGGTTGTTCTGTAGCAGCAATACAGTTATGCTGTAATTAGAACTGTGGCAGATGTAATATGAAAAAAAATCCATAACTAAATAAGTGGGTAAAAATTTATTTTGTAAAAGATACTGAATTAAGATACCCAACGCGAAATTTGAGTTTTGATACATGTTTGTTCCGTGCCCTCCAGCTGTTATGGTAATTTACATGATGTGTCGTGTAACTTACAATTATTTAGCTGTCAAATAATAGACAAAAAAGTGTTGACCCTTGTGTGTTTTATTCAACAACCGTGACAGAGCAAGGTGAAATACCAAGTCTCTTTCTTTGTACCTTGACTGATTCTTTTTGACATTATTTTAAAATGCTAGGGTACACTTTTTTATCAATCCTATAAGAGTCCCTGCCAAAGGTTTCTATCCAAAAAGAAAGACTTCTCTAGAAAATTTTTATCCCCATAAGGTGCCAAAATTGCTAATTTCGAATCAAAAAAGATTCATATACCCCCTGTTACTAATTAAATATGTATAATTTAATACTCTGAGAGTATAGGGATACTTTAAGGCACTTCACCATCATTCTTGAGACATTTGAGACAATAAGACTGTGCCAATCCCTTTGGAAATTTAGATCAGACTAAAGCTTGTTAGAATTTGTACTTTCAGGATCAAATGTAAGTTAAAGAATCAACATTATGATGTCATTGAGTAATATCTACAAACCTGAAGCAAACAAGTTTTCTCATCTTGGAAGTGAAGATGATGATGATTCTGATGAGCTGGATGATGAAATTGACGACAGCTACAACAAAGCATTGCACAGTCCTACAAGAAATGTTCAGAAACCGTTGATGGCACCAAACAGGACCACAAAAATAAGAAGAGCGCACTCTAAGCCATGGTGTACAACCAGGGCCTGTTTTGTCTGCTTTGTCTGGCTTGCATTCTTTTCTATTTGTGTCTCTGGCCTTGTACTTCTCATTCTGCGAGCAGTTGATTCAGTGGATTCAAAAACAAATGATCCAAATACTCACTTTGTCAAGAAAGTTTTATTGGATAACCAACAGACATCCTTCAATGATGAGAGCAATTTTGCTCCCTGTGATGAACTTTATGCTACAAAGGTGTGGCACACAACAATGTCTAAACTAATGACCGAAACGGCTGTGCGACTTAATGATGTCAATGAAGATGGTGTTGATGACCTCATGGTAGGGTTTTCAACTGGCGTTGATGGGTACAATGCACCTAAAATCTCTTGTGATCTATATTTTAATGGCACTTATCCATGCTATGGTGGGCTTTTGGCTCTTGATGGTAAAACTGGCAGAGAAATATGGAGGCATTATACCATGCATGAAATCTACTCAGTAAACTGTAACGGTGATTTGGATGTGGATGGTGTACGAGACTGCTTGATTTCAGGAAGGGCAGGAGTCTTCCAAGCTGTTAGTGGCAAGAAAGGACAGCTTATTTGGAATTTTGGACCACAGGAATCTAGGGATACTAACATGAATTTGTACACAGCACAGTTTATCAGAGATCTTAATGGTGATGGGGTGATGGAAGTTTTAGTCACACATGGGGGAGACCCTTTGGCGTAAGTCTTGTCTGTAATTTTTTCCTTGTTTATACCTTGTGGTCAAAAGTAGGTTTTAGAATATTGAGCTGCCAACAGTTTTCAAGGGAACATTCAGAAAATTGATCTACAGAGTGCAAAACTTGAATCATGTGAAAATTGTTTAAAAGTTTGTGGATCATTTGCACACACAAGATTTCTAGTGAATTTCGCTTTATTTTGTGTGTTTGTGAATTTCATGGGGTTTCACAGATTTGAAAGTTGCGGCTCCGCAACTGCACAAAATATCAGAAGCCCTGTCTATGAGGTGATAGTTCATGAGGCCGATCACCTCATAGAAATCTCGAGCTTATAATCTAATTGTTAAATATTAACATTATCACCATTCTTTTTTAAAATTTTTGTTAAATTAGGGAACCAAATAGCCCTCATCGTCTGGTTGGACGTCTTTTGATATTTTCTGGCAAAACTGGACAGGTGCTAAGATGGTCAAACACTCCGGATGAGAGGGAAACTTACTTTTCTCCTGTCATATACACGAAGAAGGATTCTACAGAGCTTGTGCTTTTTGGAACTGGAGGAGAGACACACCCAGGAGGACTGTGGGTTGTCTCTCTCATGGATTTATTTCATGGTTTGATAGAGAACTCCAAACTCATTTACAAAGATGACTATAAAGGTATGAGCTAGAGTAAGCTTACAGCAAGGGAGTCAGAATTATTGTGTACGAAATATTCCAGAATATAGTTATACCTCCCCCAGAATGTTATTTGGTCTAAGCTTCCCCCTCCTCCCCCTTACCCTTTGTTTTATCTGCAGCATTGTATATGTCACTAAATATTTTGTTGTTGTTGTTGTAGGAGTAATGAATCCACCCATTCTTGTGGATTTGAACAAAGATGGAACTGTCGACATTACTATGGCAATGTATAACACAACAATCATTGCTTTTGATGGAGAAACTTATGAGAGACTCTGGGATTTTGTTTTCCCATCGAGTGAATCTTACTCGTAAGTACTCCAGTTATGATCAAAAAAATTAAATTCAAAATCTGATTCTACAGACTCAGTCAAATGCTAGCTTTTGCCTTGTGGCATCAAAAATTGATGGCATTGTCAAGTACTGTCCTTCGTTTTCCAAACTTCTATGAGGATCAACATGTACGGTGTCAAAACTTTAAATGTTATTGGAATTGTAAGTTACATAAGTTAACATACAAGAATATTTGTTTGAGCCTTTTTGTGTATATGCATATGACATAGAGATTGCTGACCAAATGCAATAGTTACAGTAGTTTAAATTATTTTTTGTCCCTGTATTTTAACATGGTGGAGACTCATACAATGTACACAAATGTAGGTTTTGACAAGCTCTTCTTATGTTTTTTCTTATCAGGGTCCCAGCAGCAGGTTTCTTCAATAAAGACAACACACCTGACTTTCTTGTCAGATACAATTATGGAACAGGATTTCCAGTTTATTTCTACTCAAATGTGAGTTTGTTTTTACATGCATAGTAATTTGAATGCATTGCTACTACACCACAGACGAGTGATACCACCATGACTTTAATTTCAAGGATTATTAACCCTCAACTTACTGAATTGTCATTTTATTCCAAAATTGGCTTCCATTAGCAGAACTGCATTCCATTTCTCTGTGAATTGGAAGCAAGGTGCATTTGTCTCACCTCCAGTTTTTGCAAGGAATAATTTTGCTTTTTCCCGCTTCTCATTCAACAGTCTTAGGGAAAAGAGTGACAACATGTACTCATATGAGTGTGATAATGTCCATTCCTCAATTAGGCAGTGAACTGAGTTTTACTTAAAAATGATTGATCCTCAATGTTACAAGGAAATGTGTAGACTTGCCCACAAGTTGAGGTGCAAAATCTTAGCTCAAAGTGAGAAAAATGTCTGTGGCACTCAAAACTCAAGTGCGAGAACCTCAAGGAAGAGGAGTACACTGCTAAGCCTGGCTTTGTGCCTGGGCTGCCCGCAACAAGTGTATCTTCAATAGACTGCAATTCTTGTCAGATACAATTAGCCTATGGCTGATGGAGCTACCCTGCCTAAATAAAGATGACTTGAGTTGAACTGACTTGACTTGACGAGTACTGCATCCTTCGCTAGTCTGTCTTGCATGATGCAAATGAAAACCGCAAGGAAAAAAATGGCTGCGCAAAATCCTAGGGGGCCGGAAGCACTCTTCTCGCCCCAACGATTTCACATGGCCAATATTTTATTTACAGTCACGCTCAATAGACTAATGGAAAGAGGGGTTACTTAGGCTCCTTGTATTCTATTGTAGCAATTATGCTGTAGATGATCTTTTGTTTACCCGTCAATTTTGATTGACAGGTGACAGTGCTTGATGGCAAAACAGGCAAACTACTGGTTAAACCCTTTGTCAAGTCATCATCAATGGCCAATACATCACCATTGTCCGTCAGCATGCAGGGACTTGGTAATGATCTGTTTATCTACTGGATATCAGACTGTATTGGACATGAAGGAGATGGTACAAGATTCGAGTTTGTTGAAGGGACTAATGTACATGAGCAGAGTCGCGCTGACACTTGCAAGCTTCGTTACAATGCCAAGAGCTTCAGCAAGCTGTATGTTACAAATCATAATATTGGCTTCCCTGGAGAAGAAATTTATTATTCAGGTGACACAATGAAGTTTTTATATTCTAATCACACTGAAGCGATTATAAAATATTTTGTAATTAATCCTAATAAGCACAAACAGCATCAGAAGGGGGCATCTCGTTTATTAGCTTTTATTAATACAGCTTACAGCGAGCGTTACATCATCATATAGAAAATACAGCGGTAAGTGACCCAAAAATTATAAGGCAAGGTTGAAAGAGATGCCTTCTAGTGGCCTTTGCATAACTTACAAAATCTTAAAATTACAATATTTAGAGAGGAAGCCACATCAGCCTTAATTGGTTTTCATGAACGTCCTCTATCCTGGTCGAACTGGAATTTTAAAATGTTGGTTTTTCGGGAGGGAGGAAAACTGGAGTGTCTGAAAAAAGAAGAAAAAACCTCAGAGCAAGGCGAGAACTAGCAAGAAACTCGACCCATATTGCTGGGAGGCGAGTGCTGTTACTACCACGCCATCCCTGCTTACCAATATTCCTGTATCTAGACCTCACGCTTCGTTAATAATTACTTTATCTGAAACAGGATATAAAAGTACAAAAAGTTATAGCTACTTTAATAAGCAATTTGTTTTATCTCACAGAGGACTATCGGGATATAGAGCGTGAGGTTACAGGGGAGCAACCAAGGGGTTCTGACAAAAGTACAAACAGCAGCGGTGCTGAAAAAGCCGCTAGGGAAAACTCCAGCGCGAACTCACGAGAAAGAAGACACGTAGGTGCACCGGACCATGGCGGATATCAGAGGCTGATGGCAACAGGCAGTGTGGTGACGTCACTAGGAGAAGAGAACAATACAGGACCTGCTGACTCTATTGATGTGGTGTTCACTGCATACTGGCAGTACCCAGCCAAAGTTAGGATTATACTGCCTGAGGATAAGGCTTGTATTGAGAATTACAGAAACCTCAGCAAATCAGGTAATGTTTGCTGAAGCTTGTATAACCCAAACCAGGAGCCCATCACTAAGAGAGTGTGCAACTCCCATACTAAGTCACGGCATTTTTACAGACTGGTCTATTTTAAGGCTTCTTTTCCCGCCAAATAAGTGAGTTCCGGTCTGCATGAGCGCTCATCGGTGAGGAAAAAATGGCGGCCTCAGGTGGTTTTTCTTTTTAATCTTCCGGTAAATAAATATTAAGTTCATGCTTGTGATTGGTCATTGAGGTTCCTGCGGGGATCTGAATTCGCAGTAAATTCAAACTAAAAATAGATCGGTCTGTGAAAACGCCGTGACAGGAATATGGGGTAGTTGCCCGCACCTAGTGATGGGCTCCTGCCCAAACGTAATTTAGAGCTATACACGCCCGGCTGTTTCCGCTTGGAAGAGTTTCCGATCAATAGTGTACATCGGTTTGGCCAAGAGAGGATGAAGGGGAAGTTAGTTGATTATTCCCAAGGTAATCTCTCACAAGTCATTTTTAGACATGGTACCCAGTTCTTCCGCGGATTTGTGTTACCACGCGCGATGCGTGAATATTTTTCGTGAAGGATGAAAGNCACGTAGGTGCACCGGACCATGGCGGATATCAGAGGCTGATGGCAACAGGCAGTGTGGTGACGTCACTAGGAGAAGAAAACAACACAGGACCTGCTGACTCTATTGATGTGGTGTTCACTACATACTGGCAGTACCCAGCCAAAGTTAGGATTATCCTGCCTGAGGATAAGGCTTGTATTGAGAATTACAGAAACCTCAGCAAATCAGGTAATGTTTGCTGAAGATTGTATAACCCAAACCAGGAGCCAATCACTAAGAGAGTGTGCAACTCCCATACTAAGCCTATGTCACGGCATTTTTACAGACCGGTCTATTTTAAGGCTTCTTTTCCCGCCAAATAAGTGAGTTCCGGTCTGCATGAGCGCGCATCGGTGAGGAAAAAATGGCGTCCTCAGGTGGTTTTTCGTTTTAATCTGTCGGTAAATAAATATTAAGTTCATGCTTGTGATTGGTCATTGAGGTTTTTGCGGGGATCTGAATTCGCAGTAAATTAAAACTAAAAATAGATCGGTCTGTGAAAACGCCGTTGCAGGAATATGGGGTGATTGCCCGCACCTAGTGATGGGCTCCTGCCCAAAGGTAATTTAGAGCTATACACGCCTTACTGTTGCCGCTTGGAAGAGTTTCCGATCAATAGTGTACATCGGTTTGGCCAAGAGAGGTTGAAGGGGAAGCTAATTGATTATTCCCAAGGTAATCTCTCACAAGTTATTTTTAGACATGGTATCCAGTTCTTCCGCGGATTTGTGTTACCANTGTTTTTCATTGAAAGTATTTTTGTCAAACCGTTTAATCGAAGGCCATTTCATTTCAATGAATAATTGCCTCACATACTATCAATGTAATCATTAAATTTTAATTCCTCTATTGAACAATCAAACATTTTATGAAAATATAAATATAGTCTTATTTCGTGCTTGAACTGAACTATCAAAACGATAAACTATTTGTTATAACATGTTCATCTACGTTGAAAACACGTCAAAGGATCAGGTCTCTGGACTAAAATTGGCCAAAAACGTGCCTACTCAAATGTTTATAATAAACTACCGTTCCTAACCTTCTAAAGGGCAGCATCAACAATCAAAGGCTTTCACTGACGATTTCGAATAATAATAAACAAGGATCACCTAAACTACCACCTGAAAAAGTCCTTTAAGCTACCCGACCGCTCAGAATTTATAGGAACGGAGCTAAAGGAAATTTCGACGGCAACGCCACTAATGCAATCTCGAGTTGCTTCTGAAGTCTTCGTTTCTTGCTGCACAAACTTGACAAACGAGCAACTTTCGAGAGTTCATTTTTGTCAGCTAGGCGTATGCAATTCTGGGGTCGTTCGCTTCCCAATCGCTGGTCAAGAGAGAACGACTCTGGGTGCGTGGTTATAACGATCGCAAAACAAAAGATTCAATGGCTCTGAACGTTGCGTTATAAATCTTTGCACATTTCTTAGCCGTCCTCTGCAAAACAACGCGAAAGGATCAAGTCCTGCGTATTTTGCAGAAATTAAACTGCGATGGGGCAGATTTGTCAGGTTTCTACTTGGAACTTCGTCGTTTCACGTTCTTGTTTTGCAGAGGACGGCAGAGAAATATGCAAAGATTTATAACGCACCTGCCAGGTATTGTTCTCCTCATTAAACCTTTTGTTTGGTGACGTTCTCGTTGCCGTCGTCGTGGTGGTTTGCTTAAGCTCCCAAATGACGTTCCTTGATCGACGTTGCCTTGGCGTTGCTGTCGTCATTCCTTAACTTTCCCATTGCCTAACTTCCCTATTACACCACATACACAAGATAGACCTGGTAAAACTCTCAAAAGAGATTTCCAAGCACCCAATTTAGTATCTAAATCCACTTCAATGAGTCCTCATCCAAAGTATAGCCTAGAATTTCATTTTCAGCCGCTCATTTCTCACGCATCACCAAAATTAACTAGAGAGTTAAAACGATCATTGCTGAAGTAGCCTGCAGGCTCACGTTTATAAAACACACATGCGAGCGGCGGCTCTTCACCAGACTCCTCATCGTCGGATTGCTTCGCTCGCGGACTCGGTCTCCACCGCTCACGCGTGTGACTCAAAAGGTGAGCCTCGTCGCAGGCTATTGCTGAAATGTCTCCTGATTCTAAATATTGTCCTTGTCGTCACGCAACGCTACGCTCTTATGCAGCGTGACGTGCAACATAACGGCTTTGACTACTTGTAAACAGGTTTATAGCTATTGTCAGAGATCAAAACACAGGAATGTTGCTTCTCGGCGTTCTAAGCAAGTCGTCATCCAGCGTCAAGAGGCCCTACAAACAAGAAACATATTACGAACGTGTACTAAAAAGCAGAAGTGAGTGAAAACCAATCTGATTAGAAACAGCTCTGACACAAGCATTCGTCAGTCTTCACACGCTAAATTCATCTCCAACTAGAGAAATGCTAATCTCGTTCTGTGAACCCGCGCGTTTTCGATACGCCCGACGATTGCGCGCGCGAAAGCAGCAACCAATCAGACACTAGATTCAGACCGGAAAAACGTACTGCGCAGCTTTCTGTGTACCCCTACTTGCGGGCTTAAGGAGTTCGGGCTGCGATGGTCGCTGCAATGGCGGACTGTAATAATTCCGCGAGTATGTCGTTCGGTTGATTTACCTATACTTGGGCAAACAAGAATTTTTTTCCGGCATTTCACTGTTAATAAAACAAAGAGGGTCTCTTGCTTATATAGTAAGTGGTGTGCTTATATGGATACCGAAAACTCCTCTGTCTTGATTCCCCAAGAAAACAACATATTACCAGCTTTCCATTAGTGACGAGAAAATGTTGCTATTGGGGCATGGACTTACCAGAAATGACAAGAATAAGGCACACGCTGACAGAAAGTGCCACACATCATGGGCGTCGTAAAATCCTAACAGAATGCAATCTTTGTTTCCTTCTCGTGACTGAGCTGGACTCTTCTGCAAGGGAGAAAACAACAAGAAAGCTTCCAGAATTGTACAAGAGTAACCAATGTACCTATTTATTACAGCAGAACATTTTCCCTACAATATTCCTTTTTCAGNAGACAAAATTTTAACGTTGTGTTGCATTACATTGTCTGTATCAGAGCCAAGTGGCCCATCAGGCGGAAGCTTATCCTCGTTTCTGTAGCATGAAGCTACTAGGCGTATTTCTAACCCTCCCTAGATGGGACGCTAGTCCATCGCAGGGTTACCCCCAGCATTATGTTTGCCGACACCCATTTATACACCTGGGTGGAGAGAGGTACTGTGAGAGTGAAGTGTGTTGCCCAAGAACACAACTCAATGTCCCTGGCCAGGGGCCCATTTCTCAAAGGTCCCGAAAAGTTTTCGCACCCGGAAAGCCATAGCAAAATCTCGAAGTTTATTATTACAGAACTGTTTTATTCACGTATTCTTGGCACGAACAGAGGTTCTCTTCATACAAGAAGTTTCAGGCGTATACATTTATTTCTCCGTTTTTAGATAGAGATGAACTAAAAATGGCTTTACGGGCCCGAAAAGTTTCCGGGGCTTTCGAGAAACGGGCCCAGGTCTCGAACCCGGACTGGTCAATCCGGAGACGAGCACACTAACCATGAGACCAGCATTGTCTTCTTACCTGCCTGCTCTTATTTAAGGAAAGTAATATAACAGTAGCTTGTAAAGAGAACAATTCTTGATACCAATACCTTCATGATGACATAAAAGGCCAAATAGAGAAGTCCATTGACAATCAAGATTGCCAGTAGATATGTAGCGAAATCATTTGGAGTAGTGGCAACACCATATATAGCACTACAAGTGAAAGAAAGAACCCAGTTAAGGAATAACGTTTTATTTGTAGTGTCTCTGGATACTCTGCAGATCAGCGTTGTTTTGTACCGTGTCGTAACTGCCTAAGTTGCGTACATAACTGCGATAAACTGTTTTGTCTTGAAATCTTTATCTCGCACTTCAAATAAATGATGTTTCATATATCCACTTGCATATTACTCTCAACTCTTTAACCTTTGCGAGCTTTTTACACGGCATGCGATTACTATATTTTATATCTCAAGTTTCTACTTTTAGCTGTCAAAGTATATTTTGCGTGTAATCGAAGGAATAATAAAAAAAACACCCTCATTTCCCTTTTTTGGCTCGATTTCCGCCGGTCTCTCGAGTCCTGAACAGCAGCTGGTAATCAAGCCTATTCTGTTTTAAGTGATACCTTTTAGAGATCAAATAAAGTTCAAGCCACGCCCAGATTGGTCTCCTTTAGGGGTTTAATTCAAATTTTCCCACGAGCATCCGCGACCTTTTCATGAGGGAGTCCCCCCACCCCGGGTTCAGAGACCACTTTCAGCTAATTGCTACCTATAAGAGTGACACGTTCGAATTCTAGGTCAGTAATAAGACCTCCGTCTACCAAAATACAGTAGTGAGTTGATAACTGTAAAATATTGCTTACAAGACCCAGTTCACCGCATTGGCAATCACCAAAAGAAGCATTCGATCCTGTAAAACAAACGATATTACACTCAGTAACTTTGGTTATTACTCAAAACTTCCCTGACTTTTAGCTGACCAGAAAATTATCTTCTTTGACAACAAGACAGTCGTTATAGACAATACTTATTAGAGAGGTTAAGCATGACGTTTACGGCAAACGGCAAACGGCAAACGACAAACGGCAAACGGCCAACGGCAAAAAATGAAACTTTTGCCCTCTCTCTTCAGCTGTGTGTACAGTAGAGTGAAATTACTTGTATTCGCAATGAATAGTGGGAGACGTTATCCCATTTTTGTGTGCTTTATTTACGGATTAGAAGAAAAGAACTCAAACTCAGAAGTTATCTTCGCCGTTTGCCGTCTGCCGTTAACGTCATGCTTAACCTCTCTAATTATCAAAATTTGCCGCGGCCTTAAAATAAATTTTCCTCAAAATTCCTTGACATAAGCAAGTTTTTCTTCTGTTCTGAGGAACTCTGCCACAAAGCAAGCTAGACTGCAAAACAACCGTTTTTTGCGTTTCGGTCAGCGCGAAGCGCCTAGCATAGTGATCCTCGCGCGCCAGGTGTGCGTTCCACTTTCTCACGCGGGGCATGTGAGGCAAAATAGATGACCGTATTTCTTAGCGTCTCTCTCCAGTCTCACTCACCATTTTGACACTCAGCTTCATTGCCTTCATTCGCTCGCTCGCAAATGTACGACTGTTTTGCAGTCTAAAAGGAACCCTGGTATCACAAACACTGAAATGAACCGAGTCTAACGAAGCGTACACACTTTTTCGTTAACATAATATCAATTCATCGATTGTCATATTCGTTCGTGTTTGGGAACAATTTCAATAACATGCTTTGCTTTGTAAAGGAAACAAGAATGAATCGTAGTTGTCATTTTACCTTGTATATCGGACAAGAACAGCAGTCATAGCGCAGCAGAACAAAAATCCTTGAAAACATTCCAGCATCTGAAAAAAAGGTTTTAAGAATGTTCAAGTAGCGAAGATCAAAATTTCTACAATTAATAATAAACATCCAGCGGGGTTGTAGCCAGATATGAAAAATATTGACTGCGGCAACGTCTGTGGTAAAATTCTCTTCCTACGTGTTTAGCAGTGTTTTACTTTCCTCCTTCAACACACACACAAACACACAAACAGCAAAAGCAAAAACCAAACAACAACAACAAAAATGACTGGGGCAAGTGCGTCTTTTTTTCCTCACACCGGCTATGGCCCTGTCCAATGTATGCTATGTAGCTGTAGCCGTTAGCACGCCTTGCGGGCCTATGTTCCTTCCTGTATAGTTAGTGTCTTTAAAGGAGTTAAATATTAACTATGCAAGGATTTCGAGTTCATCACCAAGAGAGAGTTTGAAAAAGGTCAAAAAAAAAATTCAATTTGAACTTATATGTAACTTACCGAACTTGACCCTTCCCATGTAATAGATCTGAGAACTGAGGTACAAGCATCCAAAGATATGGATGATGGAAAATGTTGTCCAGAAAGCAAATGAACTGTACACCTTGAATGAAAGAAAACAAAGGAGATAATTTAACTGTCGTAACAGTAAAAGCAAGGTTTACTCGTAAAACTAAGCATGTTTTGATTACGAAACCTATCGAGCCAAACGTAGCAAGGATTCTGAGTGTTGTAGACCAATTCTCACAAATTTCACCTGATGTAAGCCTGCCTAGATGGAGGTATGTATCGTACAAAGCTGATGAAATGAATGAAAAAACTACAAGAAGAGGAAAAGCAACTTGTCTTCCCCAAGTACTGCTTTCCTCATTGTGTGAGAAGAACAAGCTACGCAAGTTAACCTGACATTGAAATCAGTTGTCTTTCTCGGCGAATNTACATGGTTAACCAATCTTGCAAACTAAACTGTTACAGCAGTGTTCAGCAAACAACAAATCTATTTCTGAGGTTGTGGTGAATTTAACATGATGGACAGCAAGATCAGTACCTTGAGGTGTAGATCCATAATGGTCTCTAGATCTTCTTGAGGAGGATGTCCTCAGAGGCCTATTTATTGACAACCCATCTAAAGCAAACAGCAAACATTGCCGTGAAGAAGCAGAGATAAACTTACTAGATGAAACTTGTTACTGAATATGCCATCTACTTCATGAATGAAAACACTTATACCCTGTGTGCAATTTTCCCACAAACTTATTTGATGTCATAATAAGATTACCAACAATTCTGGTTCCATCAAACATCACCTACTATTCAATACTATTCAATTCATCTGCAGTTAGAATTTAGAAGTTGTTGTCAGGAAGAATCATGCCAAAACTGGCCGACTGGCCTGAGCTATTTCCTCAAGATATTTGTCCATGTTGCAGAGGAAAGTGTTTTCAAATTCCTTCTCTTCTAACCAATTTACTGAGGCACCTAACCTGGTTAGGAGGCAACTTATTTTTGGCCATTTTCTCACCTGTTGGAAAGGAACTAAACCAAACCTAACCTGGCTAGAAGTCTCAGTGGAAGTTTGTGATTAATCAAGTATAGCAAAGAATTGGGTCCACAGAAGCATTAATTATCAAGGTCTGTAGTAAACTTCACTTTGACAATTCTTAAAGCACTGTTATTGTTGTTTATTACTGTAGTTCAGTAGTGGTGATGGTGACTGGTGTAATTGTAAAACTAAAAGTAAACAGCACTGCAAGCACTAATTACCTTGAATATCAGTGTCCTTTGGCATCAAAATAGATCTAAAACTTCTTTCTCTGCCTCCCTTTTGCCTAAAAATATGTTAGACAGTTAGAAATATTTAACATTTATACTTCTTTTGCAATGAATAGTTATAAATTAAATTAGTTTCATTGAAAGTAGATGCTGTAATCTTATTCATTTCCTCAGAACTATGATAGTATTAAAATGTTAGAAAACAGATGAAGAACTGGCACTTTTCAAATGGAATTTGCAAAGTGCTTGAGTGGCACTTAAAATGTACTATTTGTTAAAATGTGCATTAAAAAAAATAAAAAAAATTAAAAAGTACTTATTATGAGCCTTAGTAAATTGTAGCAACAGGACTGTCGTCTAGTGAAATTATAAATTGACGCTTACAAGTACTTAATCAGCAACTTTTACTCACTTCTTGATTTATTTTAATTACTTGTTGACTTGTTGGAAAAAATATCCCTTCCCATCCCCACTCAGGTTTTACTGTGAATAATTTGAACGTTGTACGTACAAACAGGTACTGATTTTTAAATAACTAAAGTAAGAAAAAGATTTTTACATAGGATTAAAATGAAATTTCTTGATTCTATATTTTGTTGGTCTTGTGGGTTCTATCACACAAACAGAGAGCCTACATAAAATCCTGACCAGTTATCAAGAAAATGGGAAATAGCTAAATAAATTGAAAATAGTACATGTAAGTTAATGGGCAAGTGTACATTTTCTTGTTGCAGGAAATCCTAGTGATCAGACTTGATTGAGAATCACTGTTTATCAATCTGAACATCCTTGAAAAGAGATCCACTCTCTGGTTAACGTGCTGCTCCATAGTAAAACACATACCAGGATTCCTGTGGTTAATGTAATTAACCATAGTTATCCTAATATATGTTTTAGTACAGGCATGTGACAAATTCAAAACAGAACATTTTCTCTGTTCCTAGAGCAGCCTTTCATACAGCTGCCTTCCCTTTTTTTTTTACCACACTTCCACTTGTGGTTTTGGTTCACTCAAGATAGCACACAACTTTGCTCTTCATTTAATACAAATAAATTAATATAGTCAAATGTTACATTGTATAGTTCCAGAAAATATCCATATCTCCACCACAGAACCTTGGGATTTTTTCTAAGAACCCCACCCCCCTCTCTGGAAATTCCAATTAAGCTTAATACATTTATTTAATTCTTTTGGTCTTATAGAGCCCCCCTCCTCCTCCTCCTAACCCCTAGGAAAATTCTAATCTCTTCTGTGGGGGCAGTATGGATATTTTCTGAAAATGCGCCTTTTAATTAAATTAATCTTCATATTACAACACTAACCTACACCAGGTGGCCAGGAGGACACCAAATGCAATGACATAAAATGATGCAAAGAAAGCTATTGGAACAACTATGGCCTTCACATAATCCTTTGCTGTGAACAGGAGAATATGACTCAAGATTATTCCACTGATATGACACAAGTGTATGTCACCATTGTGTATGAGGTATTGTGTGGTTCAACCAAGAGATATCTTTGCCCAGTCCAAAGAGGGTCTTTGTAAATTCTGGGGTGAGGAGGGGATTTAAAAGCTAAAGGTTAAATTCTAGGTGTGCGGTTATGTGGGGGAGGCGGCATATTCTCCAGAACACAAATTGGAGCCTTATGCTAAAAGAGTGTTGGACTCTGGACAGAGTGATCTCCACTGATGGCTGTCCAGGGTCATTTTGTTGTGTTCTTGCATAAGGCACTTTACCCTCACAGTACCTACAGGTCTTTGTCCAGGAATATATTAATTTTGTCTTATTGTATTTTTTCATGTTCTTGTAATTAGTGTAGGTCACTGTTCCTGAAAGCCCCACTGGGGAGGCAAAAATAAAGTATGTACATGTACATGTCTGTATGTATAAGTCACGGCAACTGGATGCTGGCAAACTGGAAAGCGGGGAAGAAGTAATACCACTAGTAACTGCATGATAGATATCATTATTATTTTAAAGAACCAGTATCGATTCCTCTAGTGCCAATCCTGTGAGCTGGGACTATGTTCCTTGTTTAACTAGAGTACAGCTGATTGATGAACATCAAAGCAGCAATGACCACAAGAAATGCCTTAGACCAGCCTTAAAACACTTATGGCATAAAAGAACACAAGAACAGCTTTGTGAAGGCTCTGTAATTCCATAGTTCTGAAAAGTCCTGTATACAACAAGTGTGTTCACTATCTCAAGTCAGCACTGGGTAACCAAGCCCCTATCTCACAATATCCTTACAACACTCACAAGATGTTCACTATAATCCTCTGGCAAATTCTCTTATCACAAAGAACTGTGATCATCAGCTGAAAAGTCAAACTAGAATATACTTTACAAGTAGGTGAAAGTAAGTGAAGATCAACTTACAGGATAATGTGCGCTCCACAGTTATTTTGATGGTCTTCTGTCTTTGCGATAATGGACCTGAAAAGTTATGAAGTTTCAACTGTATACCAACTGCTTTATCCACTAGGTTCCAATAATTCATAGTGTCCTAAAACTAACTTAAAGCCAAATTGTTCATCAAATGAATTAAAACTATCATTAAACAAATAATAATGCCAATATAAAAAATAGGTCTGCAATGCGTACTTGTGGGCTTATGGCTAGTTTTATTGAATCATTGGGTTGAAGTATTGCGGTCTTACAAGTAGGCAATTACTCGAAAGATAAAATTACAATGCATGAGGTTCATGCTAGGAACGTACTTGAGCCTGAGCACTGTTTTAACGACCCAGTACTTCCGTACAAACCAATTTATTTGGGCAATCAATTATTGATTGTCCAGTGGCATGCCTTATCTTGTAGTTAATTCTAACCTGCATAATAAGAGTCTCGAGAGCCAGCTTTCTTCTCTGTGTGTGGCTCTGCAAACCGTTCTCCAGAGACACATTCTTCATCAGATGACTTGACGATTAAAACAACATAGAACTCACTTTGATCAAATCTGGAACGCTGATAATTAAACAGAACAGAATTATCAGAATTTCTCTATCCTCCTGAAAACCACCAGTGAGGGTTATAAAGAGGCTGTGTGGCCAGAATCATTATCACAAGATTTGAAATTTGGTGTTTAGCCTACAAAGTAGCATTTGTCATTGGGGGAAAGTCAAATATCAAACCCAACAATGGGAAGAAACAGATCAGATAGATTTCACAGCTCTAGCAAGAAATGTATTGTTCCAGGAAATATTCTCACCCCAAGCATATGTGTATTTAAAAGAGGGGAATGGTTATGAAGCTAAGCAAACATCAAAGGAGCAAACAAAGATGCCAAGATTGATGTTGGAAGGTCTGTGACTGTGCAAAAGCTTATGTTCCGTGCTCGTACACTACAGTATGCAAGGATTACATGTACTAATTAAAAAAGTCATGTCTGTTGGTTAGTTCCCTAGTCAGAAGTAAACAAAGTGTTTTGTGCACGGTTACGGCCAAACATGTGAACAAAATCATACAACAAAGTACTTTGTCAAGTTTCATCACCATTTCCAGACTAGTAACTATGCCCTAAGGAAGGTCATTGAAAAATCCAAGAGAAGGGCAGGTTCAAATGCCAAGTTAAATTACAATAGTTATAAAATTATCCATTTGAGCACTGTGGATATTTTCTGGAATCAATATAGCACTGTAGAAATGATGGATACAATGTAAAACAAGTTAGATTGTTTAATTTATGGTTTAATTAATAAAAAGACTACCTCCATAGTGATGGCAGCTTTTGTTGTCATAGTCTGAAAGTGGCCTGTGAATTCCACGTTCCTTGCCAAGTCGTACACAGGACACTAATGGGTAAAGTTACTGTGTCATACGCTTTTACAAGTATTTCATTTTTACAAAAATTGGATGGACTATATGTTAAGCAGAGTATATAATGATGGGGAGTCCAAGAAAAGGAGTATTTATTTCAGTCTTAATTAAATAAAGATGTAACTACACTGTGAACATACACATGCATAGACTCAGCACCAATGAAAAGATCATTGTGTTGCTTCATTGAAAGCTTTTAAGAATTATTTTGCGAGGACACCCCTCACCTGTAACAGAACGTAGTAGTCAATAATAAACCTCTAAACGTAATGATCAAAACCCATAAATAACCACAATGTACCTGTGTTCCTTGAATTGACAGAATGGCACACAATTTAACATCCTTTGACTCAGCCCTGACGAGAACAGTGTCAACATTATCCGGGTACCTCCACAAGAAGTACTGTGGTAAAATAAAACACAAAAGAGGTGCTTAGTTAGAGAAAAAAAATAATAACATCACTGTTCAAAATGATATTAATACCCACCCCAAGGATGGTCATTGGAAATTCAAAGGGGGAGGGGGACATCAAAAAAGCCAAAGTTGTTAAAGAAGTATGAACCAAAATGGAACATTTCCAGATAGCTCTGCTAGAGCGGGCTCCCTTCCTGAACAGCGGCTGGTAGTTGGGTCTATTCCATTTTAAATGGCATCTTTTAGGAGTCAAATAAAGCTTGAGCCTTGCCCAGATTGGTCTCCTTTTGGGGTTTAATTCATATTTTCCAATGCGCATCCCCGACCTTTTCATACAGGAATTCTCCCATTGGAGTAAAACTGAGTAATCAAAATGCTTAATCTGTAAACCCACTGTCTGACTAGATTCCATCATTTAACTCTCATAAGATGTAAGAAGTATTATTAAGTAACATATTCTCACCTTGGGTTGTGCTGGATCTACTGTGACTGTTAATGGATCACTTAACCTGTTCAATTCCCAAATATAAACAAGATTCAGAAGTGTAGTCTTGACTTTGTTACAGTACACATCTGAATAAAGACTTTGATTTCAGTTGTTTGCATCTAAGTGGCACAATTGCTTGATCAGGAGTAATATAAGAACATGTTTTATTCCTCACTGATCATCTTACTCATAAAATATTTCATCATTTCCTGTTCTGCAATTTCTTATCACCAGTATAAACTTTGGATTTCTTGTAGTAGACAATTGAAGTTGACTTAACTTTACTTAAGTCTACTTGACTTTGATGAAACTTCCCCAAATTATCATGTTTTCCCAGTCAACAACCAGAGTAAAACAGTATTACTTATTAAAACACTTACGACAACAGAAAGTTTTCAGCAAATTCTGCTTTCAAGGTGTAATTAACAAGCTTTGGCGAAGCTGTTGATACATCAATGGAGAAAGATTCATTTGTTTCTAATCCAGCTAATGGAATGAAACCATGAAGAAATGGACAAAGAGTTCGACTGGCCAGGTGGTAATTATACCTATAAAGCAAACCAAAACTTCTTTAGAACATCTATATATTTTCTAGCTTACTAAATGATGATTAGGTGTTTTCAAACACAAACATATAGTTCAATAGTTGATCCCTGCCATTGTGGAAGGTGCAGTTACTGTAGAATAATGGTTAGCTAGTATGGAGTGTTTTTTTCTGGGCATGTTTGTCACAAAATGGTAAAATGACGAAATGGCACTACAGTTTGCCTACATAAAGGACTATTGAGGTTAGAATATTGGGAAAGATACTTCAAGTAAGCAAAATGCTAGTTCCTGATCAAAAACCTGGCCTTCAGATGTCAATATTTTCGTCAGCTGAACACAATATGATGACATACTAAGAGACCGTACGTAATAGAAGTCTGTTAAACTTTTCACTGCTAACTTTTCCATTGTTTCATGTAACTTTGTGTAGGGGTAGCTGGGGGTGTATATGAACTCTCTTGCAGGGTAAGGAATTGCCTCTTTCCCACTCCCCAGAGATTTCTTAGGTACCGATTGTGTTTTGGTCCTTTCCATATTCTAGGGGTAGAGGAATTTTTTTTTTTTTGTAACACAACACTGAAATAAAGATGGCGTCGTGTGTCGTGGTAAATTCTTCTAGATGGCAATTCCTGTACATTAGAACCAAAACACACCTTAAAAGAGATTGAAATGGTAAGGAATAAGCATCAAGAAGACTTGACCAATGGTTAAGAGGGTGTTGTGATAATGACTTAGAAGCAATGATATCATCCTTTGGATTACAAGAAGGTCTGAATCAAAGGTCTTCCTGAATACATAAGCTTATAAACCAAAACCGCATGTGGACAAGTTTAAAATGGACTTTCTCGTCTACGGTTAGACATATCTCTAGTTCAAACAAATGTATCGCTTATTAAATTGGCATTCTCTTCTAGAGGAATTGCTTTAGTATTATCTATATAAACTTTTCAGCTGACTTTTGCGCTCTCAACAGATCGTCAACAACAATCATTTGGATAGCATAAAAATACTTTTGAAGAACACTTAAATCCAAGTCACTATTTTTGATGAACACCATCTTTATGGCGTTCACCTATGATTTACAATTAAGTGAAGCTTGCTGACTTTGCACTTTTTGTTCGAAACCACCCGTTATCTTTTTCCAGCTGATTGACTGTGAAATAGAAAAGGTATTGGTTTCAATTTTACTTACCTTTCATCTGGTATAGACCAGGAAATTACCCCTCTCTGCAAGCGAGCAACAAATAACAAAGGAAACTGTTCAGTTGCTGTTTCACTTTTGACTGTTATTCGAACTGCATGAGGCTGAGAAGAAAAAATACACATTTCTGATATTGATTAAAAATTTAATAACTGACCATCCATAAGGGGACAAAGGAATGAATGCTTCTAGAATATTTCCCTCACTAATAAATAATAATATCAGCTTGGTATAAGATGCCCGCCACGTTGGGGTGGCGTTTAATAGCATTCCTTGGCATGGAATTTAAAAAGCCTCAGCGTATCTTTGGTATGAAATGCCATTAAAAAAAGGAAATTTACAAACCTGTCAAAAATTATAATGGTTGTCATGGAAAAATCAATTTCCATGAGAAGCGACATTTCATACCAAATTGTTTCGGATGAATTTCACATAAAGTGCTATGGCTTTTGCTTTAAAATAATAAGCTTAAGCTTAAGCTTTATATCTGAAGCTTGAAAAAAGTTGTGAACTTACGTACCCATAGGATACAAAAAGGATTAATTAAGAAGTCAACTGAATTCAGCTCATTACTTAATGAGGGAAGAATACGACAGTAAGCTTGGTATAATCAGTTTACCTTTGTCTTGTCTATCCAGGCATATTTATATAGCCAGACCTCTTCCCTGTTTCGGGATGCATTTCCACTCGCCAGGTTTCCGATGGAGGCGTTTTTGTATTCCAGAGTATTCGGTGGACCAGCACCGAATCGAGTCCCAGAAACAGGCAAAAGCCACACAGAAAGGCAGCTAATACAAAGGAGACTCCAGTATATTTCCATGGTAAGGATAATGACACCCGTCTATGTGAAAACCAGGCGATACCTGGCACTAGACTTCATGGCCGACATCTTGTTTTCCCAGAATAAGCGTCACTTCCGGTAAAGATCGGAAAGCATGATGGGTACCGAGTAAGATCCGGAAGTGGAAATGGCCTTAACTTTGGACTGATAACCAGGGGTTGAGTGGAGGGATAGAGGGGTCGAGAAGGGGGAATCTTCCCTCACTTTGGCCCTACAATTTTGCACTCTCTCACCTTAGACAGTATCAGTTTATATTCTCACTCTATTGTCGCCGTCTCCTGTTGACGACCACGGCAGTAGGCCGCAATACTCCACTCGCTCCTTAGGTTTTCTGGGAGCGTGCCAAAATATAAGAGACCTGTAAAGACTAAAGGCCGTGAGAAAAGGACCTGAGGAACATGCCAGAGAGACTGTCTACAGGGTACCTAAGAGAGATTTACCTCTTTTTGATTGGTTTCTCGCTCGGTAATCCTAGAAGTCGTAACAAGAACAGCAACAAATAACAAATACTCAAAGCAGACGCCGCAAGCGCCGAGGATGAGCTGTGAGCCCATAAGGAGAGTCGACACGTACCGTCTTTTCTCACGCCACTTTCCCTGACGACCAGATGAGAAGCGAGATTTGGAAAATGACACTATTAATCAACTAAATTTTGTTTTTATTTGGGTGTCACTGGTCATCACTGCAAGTTAAGGTAACTTTTTCTCTCATATTCCCTGTTTCCAGTTCTTCATGTGCCAAGTAAAAGACCTACGTATAGCTATAGATATATCGAGGAAAAGGTTGTTGTTATTCATCGTGGTGGATGCAATAATAAAGTGTATTATCGTTTGAAGACTAGCAGTAAGCGGTCGAAACGTCGCGATCTACATCTCAAGTGACTACATCGTGAGACAAACGATAATACACTTTATTATAGCTATAGATATAGTTGTGAATGTTTCGATGTCAGTTTGGCTGGGATGTGCCACAGGTTGTCAAGAATTCAGTTCCGCTGTTTTCAAAGGAGACGGACTCGTGAAGGGGAAGTCGAGGATCCCCTCTTCTAACCTGCGTAAAACAAAATCCCTGATCACAGGTTATTCTGACGTTCAGGGTCCAGGATTATAACTGAATCCCAGCCACGCTGATCCAGCTTCCATCACTGTTTTCAAATGCAATACAACACTATTTTAAACCGTGAAGGCAGAATCTATTATACACAGGGTACAAGTTAAAACTTGTGCCCTGTTGTAGAACAGACAACAACAAACACCTTTATTGTACTCATGAAAGCGTACATTTTATACTACCGCTCTCACACGTCTTCATCGTAGGGGGACCGGCAGCGAAGTGCAAATGAGTGAGAAAATAGCGGAAAACAAACTGGAAATGAAATGTTTACAGAAACATATGTTTACGAAGAGTCTTTTCAAAGTCATTCAAAAACGCTTCATTTACATGTAAGAAATTTCTTCATTTTCGCTCTTACATATAAAAGACTTTGAGTCGGAAACGACGCGATTTAACCAATGGCTTGTCTGAGGCTTAATTGGCTTATAGGCGGACAAAGGAAATTTTACCGCGAGCCTTGAATCCTTCAGATGACGTGAAATATTATAAAGTTTGGAGCACATCATTACAAAATAAGTGGATTTAGAAACCCACCTGACCAGCGCATTTCTACCAGGAAATTTGTATTTAAGACTTCCATCGTCACTTATTGAAAAAAGGTTTATAAGAATGTCTATGTGTTTCAACAGACAGAATAGATCCTATTGAAAAATACCAAGTCCTTGTGATTTTTGGCGGAGACGCAATAGAAAACCTCCTTCCTCACAGAAAGCCACTCCCAAAGTTGGCGGTAGACCAGCTGTCTCTGAGTCGAAACCAAACACTGTTTTGTAAACATCAGATTTTGGCATTATTAGAGCAGAAATCATTGGATAACTTTTTCATTATTCAGAACTAAGTATTTTAACTTCGAGAGTAACGTAAATAAGTTCTTTCCTTAGTTAAATAAAGACCTTTTCAACATCGCATTTAGAATTTTTCGTATTTAATTTGGAATTACAGTCATGTCGAAATACCACTTCCGGCGGAAATCTACGCTGATGGTCTCAGCTGCGATCATCATTTTGGTTTTCTTATTCTTAAAAATTCATTTCTTTGATTAAATATTTCTTTTGGGTAGTCAAATTGAAACATTTTCGTGGAATAAACAGAGCGATTCAGAAAACCGACATCTATTGTCTTTACGACCTGTAAAGAGAATAGAGTTGATAATAGAGCGGCGAACTCAACGCCGCTTTGTGCAATGATTCGATGATTGACATGTGTCACAAGATCGCCGAAAAGAAAGATAGAATTTCAAGAGCTTTTACTTTGCCTCGCTTGTGGAGATGGTTTCCTGAGTTTTCCTCGGGTTTGTGAAGGTTGGAAGTGTTGTACTGCGCTTTGGGAAAGGTTGAAGGGAAAATTAACACTGGACATAGTCTGTAGGTTGATACATCGCTCCCTGAGTGGTCGTCTTCGGTATGTATTCTAATCTCTATGAATCAAGCGAGTTGTGTGTGAACAAACGCTTCTGAAGTGTGTCTGGTTTTGTCTTGAATGTTTACCAAGCTTCTTCTGTTTGTAGTTTAATTTCTCTTAATGCAGTCTTTAGAGTTAGGCTAGTAATAGTCAAGGATAAGTTGAACTGGCTAAAATGTGTTTTAGCACCGTTGTTGCTTGTCATACCACAAGCCGTTTGAAGCGCGTGGAGAATAAGCCAAGTTTTGAGTACAAATATAGTTCAGTAACTCTCTTTCTATTATGCTAAGCTTCTATTGACTCCAAACTGATCTGTATGTTTGGGAAGAAACTTGTAAACGTGCTAGGGTGATAACTATAGGATTATATGGATGCTGTTAGGAACGGAAGCTACAAATATTCGCGGTTTTGTATAAGCTGAAGTTTAAGAAGGATTTCGCTTATTTTTGGTTCCTTCGGTACTCAAAGTTTATATCGAACTGGTATTAAAAAACCTTGATATCAACATTGCACTTGCTGATGCTCAGAAAAATAAATTGTAACTTGAAGTTTCTCGAATTAAAAGCTCTCTCGTAACTTAAAGCGAAGTTTTGGTAATGAGGGCTTCATGAGATTGTCATATGCAAGTCAAACGTGCGAAATTTCAACTCTATGTACGAATCTTTGGCGAAAGAATAATTGACCCATTGTGATCAATATTAAAAGTGTTAAATCGAACTAGCACCAAGCCATTGCTTCCTAACTCTTTATTTTTCGCTTTCTGTGGCATTTCAACGGGAAAAATCCCTTCTTGTGTTATATATTATCTGAATCCTCTTGTGAATGATTACAAATGATCACAAGGTGTTTTTATTTAATTTCTGGCTCGCTATCAGATGTTTTGGGAATCAACCCCGAATGAAAGCAAAAATTTCGGTTCAAGTGTTATTTACCGAAATTTCTGTCTTTATCTACCTCATTTTGCCATATAAATTGTTCCGATAACATTGTGTTCCGTGGTGGTTGTCGTTGTGGGAGACCATCTGCGCCTCGCGTTGAGATTTCTGTGTGACGGAATGATTTATTTTTCTTGGGGTCTAATTAATGGCTTCTCAAGCAAGGTTGCTTTTGCGATAAATAATGAAACGCCAAGAAAGCAATTTTTTTGTTTTGATGTGGGTTTACACGTTATTCTATACTGTCCATCTTTCAGCGATTGGAACAAGGTGTGTGTTGATCGATGTTGTACATTTGCAAAAATGAATCATTCAGCGTTTTTTTTTTGTCCATCCGTGCTAGACAACACGATAACTTTCGTACAGGAAAGCAGCCCTTACTGTTTTACCTTTCAGCTTAAAATGCTTGCTAATTGGAATTAAAATTTAAAAATTGTTCATTGCTATATCACGTTTTTCTTAAAACGTTCCTAATCACGAATATTCAGCTACATGGTGAGTTTGGCGACAGATTTCATGCTTCAAATTGACTTACGTCCAGTTCATAACAAGCTTACAGGCTGATTAGTACTGCTCTTTAGCGAGGAAACCAATCATGGTTGATACTTAATGTTGAAGAGCTAAATTTAATATACCGAGTAGTGTTTTCTTTTTGACTTTTCTTATATACAAATCTTTCAAACTGACTGCTTGATCCACTGTATCTGAGTGCTTTCACAGCTGGTTGATGTAAACCATCGTTTAGTAAACCACATGTTTTTGTAGAGGACAAAGAAACTTAACGTGTTAGCTAAACTTCGGAAAGCTTCTGTCATTTTCTTTGCAAATTTCAACATGTTGGCATGTTAGGACTAAAGTCAAGAAATATCATGTACAGATGCTTTTTCTTGGACTCCATATGGTGTCTGGTGACCCCTAAAACGATCAAATGCTATGATACAGAAAGGTACACCAGTGTGATAATTTCTTTTAGCAGGGTTAAACCGTATGGCAGTCATGACTGCTTGATAACAGGAAACAGGACAATGTTCTTTTCCAATCTTGTCCCTACATGTAGAATGCAAACTCTGTCAAATTGTCATTTGAAGTCTTTAGTCAACAGATTTCTGCTCAAATCTGATTGGCTGATAGTGAGAAATGAGCGATAGGAGCATGTGGTTACGTCTAGGAATTTCTAATGACATCTTCAATCAGTCTTGCACGTGATTGCTGTAAGTAAGTCGTGTTTCAGCTGAAGCTGGTGGTTGTATCTGCGAAGTTGATCTTTATGTGTAAGAGTTAGTGCATATTATGGCTACCAAGAGATCTAACCAAGTAGCACTCTGCTAGCCTAAATAGCACTCCAGTTAGGCTGAATAGCATTTTGGTTAACCTGAATACCACTCCTGTTAGCCTGAATAACACTCTAGTCAGCCTGAATAGCACTCTGGTTAACGTGAATACCAGTGGTGTTTGCCTGAATATAATAGTGCTTCAGTTAGCCTAAATAAGTGCTCCAGTTAGCCTGAATAGCACTCCTCTTATCCTAAGTAACACTCAAGTTGGCCTGTTTTTGGTTAAATCTTGATAATGGTAGCAGGTTTTGCTTGTTTTGGTGGCTTTGTTTTGTTTTGCATGGTTCAACAGATATTTTTGTTGTTTCATGGTTTCAGGTTTTAGTACTTACCCCCCTGTGAAGTGGGGGAGGTGCTACACACTTACATTCCTATGCATGAAAAGGAAAACTTAAGCTTTCATAGTACATTATACACTAATAGAAAACAATGTCTTGGTCTAAAGTTCTCTTGTGTAAATTGTATCTAACAAAACATGTTTTATGGTATTTTTGGAGTGATAAAATGATTTGGCCTGCTGGCAGAGTTTCTTGAATCGATCTAGGAAAGATCAAGTGACATTTGTAGCAGGGAAGGAAAATCTCAGACATAGATTTAACTAAGATAAAAAAAATTTTCCTAATGCGTGGTTCCAGAAAATATCCATAACCCCACCATGGAAGGAATTGGAAATTTCAGAGAGACTGGGGGGGGGNGGTCACTTTAGTTTCCAGATGTCCTTTGATTCAATACAGATTCAGGTATCGATCTAGCTGGTCAAAAATCCTTTCTTACCTACTAAGTAGATCTTTCACATGGAAATATAGTACTATCTTGAATACTTGTATCTTAATTGCATTATGCTTGTATTTGTAGTGGTTACTTTAACTTTTAACCCACTTTCTTGCCAAAACTATTTTTTCCAGAGGGTATGAGGGGTGTACATAATACTCATGGAAATTCTGTAGTGATTGGGGGAGGGTTGTTTTTGTGTTCAAAAATTGGAAATTCTGGGGTCTTGAGTGGGGGTGGGGGCTTGAGTGAAATTCCCTCTGTGGTGGGGTATGGATATTTTCTGGAACTACACAATATATAATCCCAATTATGTTTATGAGCAATATCACATGGAACAGATGACATAGTGTCTTCAGTCAAAGCATACATGTACTATTTGTACAGTGTACATGTATGTATTATAGTAGTATTGTAGTAGTATTGTCAAAGAAGAACAATACAGGCTACCATTTAGATCTTACTGGCCAGTAACTTGAAATAATACAACTTGTGCAATTAAGTATCTATTTCCTCCTGTTAGGGTCTTCTAATTCATGCAAGATGTATTTATTTGTGATGCACAATTTTAAGTTAATGTGTTGAAGAAAGTGGCAAATTACAATGAGTAATTACACTATAAAAATCTTAAAATCAATACAATGCTGAATATTGTTGGTAGGAATGTACAGTATGTCTTAACTGCATGTTGGTATTAATAATGATTATTTCCCTTTTCTCTCTTTCAGATACATAAGTTAGGTGAAGGATGCATCTATCATCTGTTTAGTGTTAACAAAGAGAATTATTTTATCAGCAATTTGGAAGATGATGTTTCAGCAAACACCACTCTCTTCCATTGTCGTATTCACATTGTGCTGTACATGGATCAAGTATGCAACTGGTCAAGGTTAATATTATTTAAAATTACATGTAGTACAGAAAATGTTTCTAGTTTCTGTCAAAGTGAGTTTGTAAGTAAGTTTGTGTGAAGCTAGTTGGAGGATTTTAAGTATGTTTGTATTCAGCCAAGCTCATGACTGTCTTGGCATTTAGCTGAGTAATGTTTCTTGTTCATAACCATTGATGTCATCTTCAGTCATGTTCACCAAAATCACTCTTGCATGGCTTGTTATGTGGTTGGAAAAAGAGCTTGCAAGTTGATGAAATCCTTTGCTACCTGAGCATGAAAGATGGGGCTACATATAGCTTACCTGTTCAGGACTGTCCATGTTGTCCCGCAAAATAATGGTGTCCTATATGCCTTAATATGTTAAATTGTTTATTGTCAGCAGGCTCGTGATTGTTGGATATCAGCCTCGATCTTATATATGTGTTCATGGACCTTGACTGTATCTCAGTCCTAAATGACACAATGATATCCAGCTATATAAACCTCAGTTTTGATCAAAATGCCATTTAAAAATATTTTGAACTCTTTCTGTTTTAAACCACCTAGGAAGACCACCTGTCATCACAGAACATCCCTCTGATGCTGTTGTTGAAAAAAATTCACCTGCTGAACTCACATGCAAGGCATCAGGATTTCCAGAGCCTAAAATCTCTTGGTATCGGAATGGAGTTGAAATACCATCAGAAAGGCGCAGGTCGATTTTACCAAATGGTAACCTCTACTTTATACGGACTGTGTCCAGCAAGCGCAAGACAGACAATGGAATTTATAGCTGCGAGGCCAAAAATCGCTTTGGCACTGTATACAGCAAAAGTGCATCACTCTTCATTGGAAGTGAGTGGTTCCTCAGTAATATAATTGTTTTATTATCAATGATTTGAAATGATTTTCTAAATTGTGTCAAACAAGTTAAAGCACGATCTGGGCTGGTTGTAGTTTATAGACACTACAAAGTTTGCTATAAGCGAGTTCTTAGTTCCTTGACAGAATGTGTCAAAATAAGTGATTGATTGATTGATTGATTGATTGATAGATAAGCAGTTTAGAGTGCCAATGAGACAAACTCTCACAGCTATGTTTGATTGTGGGTAAAGAGCTACTACTCATTTACTGTCATTTTGATGTGATGTCTGAGTGTCAGAAATGACCAATTCCACAATTTTTGCACAATTCTAACCAGGTTACACAATAGTCACCTACTGTACTGTAACCCTCCTGTCGCGGTCTCTTTGGGAGATCTGGCATCCTAATGACAATCAATGTTGGATCCCAGATTGGGGTCTCTGTGTTCAGGTACTAGCTGGGGAGACTGTGCTATGTTCTTGCACAATACTTGTTACCCTCACTACCTCCCTTCGTAAATGCCAAGTGATGAACAAGCATCCCATCTATGTGTAGAGTGGTGTGCACATACTCTTGGTTGCCTCATCAGGGTTTCAGAATGTTTTGAAGTAGGCGTCTGCAGTTGGAAGAGTAGGCGGCTGTGACAAGTTAGAGGCCGGATTAGGCTCCTCATCCTAAGGGGTCTAGTGACATCCCCCCCCCCCCCCNGAAAATTTTGAAATTTACAATATAGAAGCTAGAAAATGCCATTTTCAGCATTCAGAGTTAGATGCTGATCTGTCAATGGCATAAGTTTATTGATTTTCTTAGGTGGTGTTAATTTAATGAAAGCTAGTTAAGGAGCAATGATTCATGTTAGCCACTGTGTTATCTTGCTTTACAGAGTAGCATGAAAAATCCTCGTAACACGTGTTTGTCTGAGATAGAAATGTAAAAAAAAAAATCATTTTAAGCGATTCCAAATGTCACATTTTTCATTTATAAGATTAAATTAACGCTTAAAGGAGTGAGAATCAAGCGATTAAAATCATCACATTGGTTAAAGCAGGGTTCAAATTAAAAAAAAAATCCTTAAGTCACCATTTGGTGACTAAGTGGTAAAAAATAGTCACCAAATGCAAATTTTTAGTCACCAGATTGTAAAATCAAATAGTAGCTACACCATCTGCAGGCATTCATGACGTACTCAATGCTCAAGGGTTTGCAATGCATTATGGGGTGATAACCATATTTTGAAATTTTTCCAATGTGTGAGAGTCGTTTTAGCAAAGCAAGAGAATTGGATGCTTTGAGCTTTCCTTTGAACAAACTTAATACTTCCTATTGCAAAAATAATTTATTATTGCTTCAAAATCAAGTGTGAAGTCACTCTGCCATCTCAAAGATTTATCGATAAGACAAAATGCTGAGCTTGTTTGTCGCAAGGCCAGAGTAACCAGCGATATAAAATTAAGTGGGTGGCGGAACTCTGGCAGTTGCCAGCTTGTTTTGAAAACACTGCTTGATGTAATGAAATCAGGGTCACTAGACACAAATATAGACGTAACTTTACCTTAACCTTTGTTGTGAACAATGAAATAGTTTTGTTTGAATGTGTAGAAAATACCGGTAGACCTAGAAAATTGACTTTCAGGAGTGAGGCCGTGAAAACTTTCTAGACATTTAATTAATTGCTGTAATTTTCTTCAAACAGCATTAAAGCTGACATTCCGATCAGAACCTGAAAACCAAACTGTGTATGTTGGCAAGTCTGTGGTGTTTAAATGTTCACCACCCCGTGGTAACCCTGCACCCACCATCACTTGGTTACAAGATGGAAGCTTGGTGTCTAATACTAGCAGGACATTCATTTCAGCTAAAGGAAACTTGACAATTTCACTAGTTACAAAGGCAGATCAGGGATTGTATATTTGTAGAGCAAACAGTCCTCTTGGAACTCGAAACAGCCAGGAAGCATTGCTTACTGTTAAAGGTATGGCAATTAATATGATGATGGTATACATGTATGTATATTGTTTATCAAATGTAGATTTTTCTTTGTAGAATTTCACCAGAATTGGGCCCAGTTGTTTACAAGTTAGATAATGCTATTCACTAGGTCCATTTAAATTGGTATCGAATGGAATAATGTTGACAAATCAAATTATGCTATCCACTGGATAGCATCCAGGCAATATGGTTATTCACCCTTTGACAGATCCTAAGCAATCGTGATCTTTACTGCACGAGTAACCTGTTTGCGCTTATTCTTTGCCTGCTCGCTCCATGTGTGAAAAATGCGGTCAATTTGTTAATTGGGAAACAGTGCAAAGAACAATGAATTACTAAGTTATAATTAATGAATAATAATTGTTATTAAAAGCTCTGGTTATAATTGAATAATTTTCTTTAATGTTGTTTTCTTTTTCCAGATAAACCAGGCTCTCCACTTACTGTTGTGCCATCTACAAAAAAAGTCTTGGTTGGAAATAATGTAACCTTTGAATGTCAGTACAGAGATGGGTCTCAAGATGAGGTGACATGGGAGAAAAAGGATGGAGCTCTACCTAATGGTCGATACTTTGTGGACGAAGGTGTATTGACTATTACAGACGCAGAAAAGTCAGATGCAGGAATGTATGTTTGTAGGGTTAACACAGGAATAAAGGACCTCACCGTGGAAGTAAAGCTTGAAGTGCAATGTAAGTATTTCTGAGACAAAACTGTTGTTGTTGTAGTGTCTTTGAGGTTACAGTGAACTCTGTCTAAGGTGGAGACGCATTGTAGCTGCTGTAGCTGTCTGCTCCAGAGTGGTGTCCAGGGTTGTCATTAATTATGCTCCCTCATCACAGGCCTGCAATGCATGCAGAGAGCTAGATAATAAAGCTCTCTGCATGCATTGCAGGCCTATGATGAGGGAGCATATTATTAAAAGCTGTAACCCATAACAACTGTTAAAAGAAAAACTGCTGAAAAGAGGGGAGGGGATAGGGAGAGAACACCAAGAACCGCTGAACTAATCCAGCTGTTAAGGTACAAAATTGTTCGTTTTTTGATAAAAGCATCAAACTTGGCAGGGTTACTAACCTCTATAAGACAAATATTTCCTGATATGGAGCCATGCCAAATTTTCCTCCAGAACCATGGAATGCGCATGTCAAAAATATGGCATACAAGGCTGTTACATGGAAACGAGGCTGATGCAAAATGCCAATTTTTTGCCTTCTGGGACTACTATGCCTAGTGTCTTGCTTTTGTAATACAACAACAAATTAACCATTGCCTTTGAGTCTTACATTATGTCACGTGATAGTCATCAGTGACCATTATGTTCAATTACCAGCAAAGCAATACGTACTGATGAAATCATTACCATTTTTGAGTTATTGTTTTTACAAAAAAATACCTCTTAGTTGGCGCGTCGAGTATGTTACGGGTTAATGGGTGAGTGAGTGAGAGATGTATGTATGTCACACCAATCAGATTGGATCTACTATACACAGCCAATCAAATTTCTTGTTGTAAAGGTAAATGGTATGTGAGAAGATCTGATCCCAATAAAGTTCAGAACGGCCATATTCATTCTTCTATAAAAGAGGAGGAAGTATTCATATATTGGGTTTACTTCGACATTTTCTGTGGGTTAGGCTGA